AATTATAGCTTTTGGCCGGCTGCGTAGTTGGCGATGAAATTTTAAATCTGTCAATGAAATTCGATGTAGATTACGACTAAACTCTAAAAAATGGAATACTACCAAAAGCAAAAAAAAATTTAGGGGGGGCTAAGAAAAAAAAAGATTTTTTTTCGCACGCTCCGATCGCAAAATTTTTTTCATAAAAACTCATCATTTGGGTCCAATATCACCATCCATAAATTTCATCTGGATCCCACGCTCTGAAGCTGAAATCTAGCATGTACAAAAATCCTGGCTACGCCACTGCAGCACATCTATCGATGTATATGAGTAATGTAAAAAATACGTTTTTGTCTATATGCTAATTTGCAATTCCAACAATAAGCTAAGATGCTGAATTCTTTTCAGGATATTTCATGAAAGCAAGTGCATTGACTGATTTAGAACGATAACTGAAAATATTTTATCCATAAAATACAATTCATAATTTTCTCTCTTAGGTTGCCCATATAATTTTCCTGTTTATAATCCAAATGGAACTCGTATCGAATCATTTAATCCTTTACAACCAATAAATGATTGTCATTTTATCTGTATGACATTTTTCACACTTATCTTATTTATCACACATTTAGTTATTATTATTATTATCTTATTAGGTAATGTTGATAATGTTGGTCGAGGAAAATTCTTTGTGATGATTTATTATCAATCAAAACCAATAAAAATTCCTTGTCAAATTCAATCTCTTTCATTAAATCGTATTCGAATATCATTTTTACCAGTAAAAATTGGTACATATCAAATTTATGTAGCTTATAGAAATATTCCTATTAACGGTAAGTTATATTTATTATGTAAACATATATATATATAAAGAAAAGAAAAAAACAGAAACAAACATATTTAATAGAAATGCTGAAGAAAAAAAGGAAAATGTGTAGCCAAAAGTGATTGAACAGGTGTTGGAGTAAATGGTAAAATATTTGCTGTTGGAATAGTTTTCATTGGTGTTCGAGATTGTAAATCATCATATGTATTATCATGATGTAATTTTGAATTTGTTTCATCATTTTCAATACTATTGTCATTAGCTATTGTTTTTGTTAATAAACGTTTTCGACAACGTGATCGTTTATTTTGAAACCAAACCTTAATTATTTTAAAAAAATAAAATAATAAGAAAAAATGAAGAAAATCTTTTACTTGTACACGTGCTTCACTTGTACCTATTTCATTTGATAATTGTTCACGACGATGAATATCAGGATATTGTTCTTGTAAAAAAGCATGTTCAAGAATTT